ATTGGTGGAATAATTCCTCATTTTTTCCGACCGCTTCTAAAGATTGGTCAGTTATGAAGCAGTATGGTGAACTATATTCCCACTTTACGGTACCAACTGGTCAACAGCAATTTTTTTTCGAAATACACTGCTTTCATTGTAAAAAAGTAGTGAACCTTGCACAGTGACCTATGTGTCCTATTGAAACTGATATAGGCACTCAATCGGGGCACTATCAGGAGGGTAGGAATGAGCCCGACTCTGGCTCCGTTTTTGTCCAATAGTGATCGGTTTCAAACTGATTCAGGACAAAACAACCAATGCTAAGAAAGCCACGGATGAGCTCCTTGACACATGGGACGATATCATACATCTGATTCCCCTACGCTCAGCGTTTCTTAATTTAGGCGGAGTTGGTTCAGTTTCACGGATCAAATAGATAAGCAATGAAAAAAGATGATAATTTTTGAGAAAGAACCACGAGTGAGCATAGTTACCAGAGAAGCATACAACTCAGTAGTGATTGGGTACTGTGAAGATCTATCAACTAGTTTTCCACAACGTTACAAATTAGAACAGGTAGGATTTATGGGATGAGCGTCCAGAGTACCCAGCAATGATGAGCGATGTGTTTTTGGCTAATCCCTGCAGGTGCACCGAACAATATTCTCGTGCGTTTTGTACTTTTACACATGAAATATGTAAGAGGTAATAAAGGATGGAAGTCTTCGCCGTTGATCAATCCCTTTGTGGGATGCGGCACGCATTCTACTTCCATTCAGAATCGTAGTGGCTTATTGAATGCGATGTGGCCTATACAATGACTTGCGGTGGCCAGCCGATGTACAAGTCAGTGTTTTATCCTCCCAGACGAATCTGGTACCAATTTACCGTCCCCGGAGGGTAGAAGGCTTGGTTGGCCTGGGGGAGTCGACCTGGGCTTTAACCCAGGACCGCGCGAGATGCGCGCCGTTCTCACTGCACCACCTCCGCCTCATGTAAGGAAAAATTCATTTGAATCGTTCCTTTTTTGATATTGCTTTCCGATGATAATTTTTTATGAAATTGGAATACTCGGCTCACAAATATTCTCATTTTTGGGACCCGTGCGCAGAAACCGGTAGCTTCCATCAATATCGATCGGCGTGATACGGTTTTGTCGAGCACTAAGGTTCTACAGCTCTACCAACTCAATGGCGTGGCTCCTAACCCTCGTGATTTACTGCTCGAAAACCGCGAGTATTCGACAAAATCCCCGCCCAGATGGATGCATGCTCCTCCCACTACGGGTTGCCTCCTCATCTCACTTGTCAGTCCTCTGGTTACCTTTGTAAAATTCCCAGCCCCTGACCTCCTCACCAATCAATTTCCAATGTTATAGTAGATGTACAGCAATTCTGAACAGGGCATATCATTGATTGAGGATTTTGGTTGAGTGCGTACGACAACGCCCCCTTTGCTTAGGGGGGGGGGTGGTACGACCCCCTCCAGGGGGTGGCTTGATACCCCTCTGAATACGACCCCCTTCTCCCTTCCCCCATCCTACTCACGAAAAGTCAGCAATCTCTCCAACCTCTCCCACCAGAAGGCCAGAAGTGAAATACGATCACCTCCTCCTTTCGTCCTAGAACAAGAAAAGAAAGAAAATCAAGTGTCAAAAAAGTTTTTTTCGGCCCAAGTACGACCACCCCCCCCCCCCCCCTGTTGGCGACCCGGAATAACAACAGGCGCATGTACCCTCGCTGTTCAGCAGCGTCGCGCCGCAAGGAACTATATTCTGCAAACTTGAAATGCCATAAAAGATGAAGCCAACTTTAGCAGAAAGTACCTTGGCCATTTCGGCCGACACTTCTTTCTCCGATGTCTACATTTACCCCCCCCCCCCTTCCTCAGCGACAAGTAGGCACCCTCCTGATTGGCAATTCTGCCTCTGACAGCAGGTCAATCATGTTAAAACAAATCGGGGCGCGTGTTTAGAGCAACAAAACAGCTAGCGGATTATACCCAGTTTGGACGGTATATGGAAGCCTATACGTATTGATGCTGTCATGTCAATGGAAAACTTGTTAATACTACCCAGTAAGAGGATTGTTGACTGAAAAAGTGAACCGTTCCCCATTCGCAATGGTATTGTAGTTCGCCATTGTTCCGAATGGAAGTTAACTGGTATTCCCTATGCGCAGGTTATTAGCAAGAATTGTGTGGCGTGTGAAACGTGCTAAGGGACAAGAAGTGGTGGAAAACGGGCGGGCACCACCCCAAAACCGTCCCTCCTGACACGCCATCATCGCAGCGAACAAGACTATGCACACCAAACGTTTTTTTGTATAGCATACTTATTGAAAGCCTTTCAACGATGTTCTGCGATGTTATTTATCAGCAAAATAAATAAATAATAATAAATAAGTTAACACAATAAGACGAGTTCAAAGCTACTTACTATTAGACATTACTATGCAAAGAAAACACTATCTGTAAACTGCTTGTAGCCTGTACACATTACAATAACACAACACATTTCTATACAATTGCATCCTGAAACCAGCAAACTTGGGAATTCTGGCACTATTAGCCTTTTTCTGCCATATTTTTCGAAATCCTGGTCAGATTTTTATAGGAATTTTTCCATGGGACTAGATTGGCTTAGATTTTGTCCAGCGGGCAGTATGAGCCTCCAAACGGCGGAAATCAATTCCGTTCAAGACGAACAGCAGCCGTGGCGCGGCCATGGGCACTGGTGCTGAAGATTTTCGTGTCAAGCGGATGTGAACTCCGGGTTCAGAGGCTAAAACTATACCAGGAGCAAAATGTCGGCCAAATCTACTCAAGGGGGACCAGTCAGATCGATCAAAATTTGGCCTGAATTTGGAACAGAGAGATGGAGAAGGTTAAATAGTGCAGGAATTTTGTAAGTGTAATCATATGGGTAGGTCATTTCTAGTAACCATGAAACAGTTCCATGACTTTTGCAAGGTTGCGACACATCCCCGATACCTACTTTGTGCCAGCGAATTCGATTATCGATCGGTATTGATTTCAAAGAGACCTATGCCACAACTTTGCTAAGCGAAGTGAAATCCATCGTCTAAACCGCCGACCTCATCTAGACTTATAATTAGGTTAACAAAGCGACACGCCTATATGGTACGTACTGTGTAATTACTACCGCGCATTTACATTATTGGATTCAACAACGGTGAAAATAAATAGTTAAGGAAAACGCAATCAAGGATTTAGGCATACAGTTGCTGTAAGTAGATACAACTGGCTAGAGACAAACGAGTAACACTCAGAAATGGCGAGAGAATCAAGGGCATATCCCACGCTGATCATTTGGGCGGGGGCGGGACTATTGTTCTGCCTTCGTCGGGAAAATCTCTTTTTGTGAGGTAAAAAGCGGGTCATGGTAGAAGAGTAGTAGGCCGACTCCGCCCATAAGACGGGCGTGAAATGCTCTATTGAGTCACAAGAAAATAAAAATTTGAAGGAAATTGGTATCTATGGTATCTATCACTTGTAATTACTACAATCATGAAGAATGGTATATCTGACGACCGACAATGAAATGAATAGGAAGGGAACGATAACGATTTTCAGAAAATACAGCAATAGCGAAATATTTTTTCACAAACACAATTGAGACATTTCTAGCGGGGGGGATATTTTTGGGCACAACAATAACTAAGTACACTAATAGCTATTACTTACAAACTTACAAACACTTTAGTATTAAAAATGTAGATCCTCTAGTCTGCTTCAGTAACCATATCCTTCAGTTCCAACGAATGGATTCGGATTGGGCGGCATATTGAAGGTGGTGCACGGGGTTGGATAGGAGGTATTTCGGGTACATTCACTGGACGTAGCGACTGCACCAAGTTCTGGAAATGCGTACTGATTTTTCAGGGTCATAATTTAGGGACGGCGTGGGAAAGGGAGTATTAGTTGAAAATTAAGGAGTTATTGAGGCACGTTTGGAATATCGCCGGCACGCTTACGTTATTATGGTTCACTGATGTGAAGGTGAATGATGTTGGGGAGGGTGAATTCTTTGCATCTATGAGGGGTGGGGCAAGGGGGGGGGGGCCTGCAGGCTAGCAAATTTGTTCATTTCATTGGGGCGGGGAAGGTGCGAGGTAACTGAAACCTACAGGGTTGGCTGATAGGTTGAATGCCGATAGGGACTCATCGGGTACTGCACGTGCTAGATGCGCGTCGACTAAAGGATTCGCCCGAAACCATAGGAAAGCAAGCTGCTAGAAGGGTGATGACAAGAAGCCCGCTTGGCAATAGTCAGGCGCGTGCCAGGTTGTGCAGTACGTTTCGTGTGCGTGTTTTGCCGGTGGGTGGGTCGAACAGCAATTGAGTAAGCTAAACTGCTAATCGCCCTTCGGGCTTTTGAGTGGGGAAATTATGTCACCTTCTAGCAAGCTTGTAAGCCATTTACCCTCGCCGGCGCTGCGCAGTAGTGACTGTTAGGTAAGGGTTACGATCGAGTACAGCTTATCTTGCGAAATAGTACTCTTATGAAGAATTACAGGAGTAAATAAGTGAGCTTATGCCATTTTAAAATTAGTTCACTAAGGTAGTTGGAAAGCCGTCGCCAAAATTTTCTGCAGATCATAGGCATCGACTTGCTGTCCTTTCAGAGAGAGTGAGTGCGGATTAGGAAAGGCTGATTGCGGTAAGGGCACAGTGAGGAAACATAGAGGATAGGCGTCGGCCTGGACTTCCATCCACTACCTTTCAAACTCACAAAAAATTGGCGTCCCATAGAAGCGAAGGTTAATCAGCTATGATCACATTTAAAATTTGCAGTCGCCTTCCAAGTAAATTTCATGTAAAAGAACACTTCATATTTCATAGCCTCTGTTTGAGTTTCAAGATTTCAGATGATAAATATTCAAATCAATAAAATACTAGTTTGATAGCATGTTTACTCTGCGCTCTGCTTTACGTTTCACCGACAAATGAGGGAAGTTCAAGAGCGTTATGCTAAATAATCTCCTAATTTCAGATAAAGGAAGTCAGATCAATGGGCCTCATAAACTGCTAAAATTTGAGGGATAGCAGGACTAGGTAGGTACAAGCAAAGGCTCACCTTCAGAACTTCCACCGTAACCATAGCCATCCTGAACCTCGCCGTCGATACCACTGAATTCGTTATCGAAGTTTGTTCCTAGAGCTGTGACTGCGCCCTCTTCATATCGTCTCCATGCGAAGAACGCCGCACCACCCTGAAACCCAAACATTTCTGAAGATAATCAGCCCGAGTTAATTAGCAATTGTTACCGAAATAATGACCTCTGGAACAATGGAACTCACCCAAGCCAACGTCGACAGGAATGCCAATAGAATGCCGAGTTTTGCGTATCCGGTGGAATAGGGTTCATCAAGATCAAACGACGAAAACTTGCTCCAGAAAGTGAAGAACGCAATCAGAAATATAGCAGCAAATATCGCTAAAATAAGAATCATCAATATTGGTAGAGCGTATGCTGGATTTTTTTCATTTTCCGGGAAGAACCCAGTATTTGCTCTTGAAAAAGGACCTGTTAAAGACAAGTTCCAGAACCGTCACATCTTGCGCTACGGCATGGCGAAAGATACATAAACGTCAAAACCTTACGGGGAGGGTGGATGGTGTTGTAGACCGCAATGGACAATCTTGTACCAGTTATGCGTAAACCAGTTACAAAGTGAAGACGTTAAAGTGCAAGGCTTATAGGCACGGTAATTTGGTACTCGGTCCGGAATGCTAGCAGGGTGCTATATAGTGGAAAATGGCGAAAAAACGAAGTGAAACGGTCAAAAACCTGCGAAGAAAAGCCTTCGTTCTTAATGACTCAGAAAGCAATTTCGGACGAGTTTCCCGTAGGCATCTTGCCAATAACCGCTACGGTAGATACGGCTGCACGTATGTACTCATATATCCATGCAGCACCGCGGCCGCTTCATATCAATCCCTTCGCTTCATATTTTACTTGCAATGAAGCAATACGAGCATCAGGTACGGTCGTCCATTTGTGGGCGGGCGGGCGCGGTGGGCGTCTGGGTCGGTATGTTGCAGCTTGATAGGGCCTTATAAGGGTGGCTTCCTCGAAAAAGGCGTTACGCAGCGCCTGCCAGGGGCGCGGAATTCCGTCCTGCCAGGCGTATTAATCCTACTCGTCTTAGAGGACTTATCGTGCCAACTGCCTTCAAGGGACTCCTCCTGAGAGAAGCTGACTCCACCTCACGTTGGCGTCCCTCGACTCGCCCATTTCTTCGTGCCGCGACGGGTAAATAACGCTCCACACCCGCACTCCTCATTTGAACCCCACGGTTACTGCAAAAATGCTGTGTTACGGTCAAAGTCTCGACCCCAAGTGGGATTCCTACTTTATTATGGAGGGCTATGGCCCAGAATATTGCTGATGGTAGGAGGGCTTCTGTGCTAATAGAAAGCGCACTCGCTCAGGAAACGTTAGATAAAGGGGTCTGAGTCCCTATCAGGATCAAGACTTTTGCCTATAACTTAGAATTTTCGGGATAAATTAGTCATAATAAAACAACTCCAAATCTACATTTTTGTATATGAATGCCATGGGTCCTACGCAACTGGCACTTATTTTGGGCTGAGGCACGTACACAAAACTTTGACCAGCTCCCTTTCTTTCCGTATTCGCTTTTTTAAATTACGCATGTTCAACTAACCGGACACAGCTAGATCTCCAGTAACAATTCGTTTTCGTGTTGGAATGGATGTAACGCGTTCGAATCGTGCATCTGACAATAATAGTGCACCAGCGCCAACAAGTGAAAAGAACCCGAGAGCCGAGGCAAATGAACATGTCGACGCACTGCTGCCATAGAGACAAATCTGAAAAGGAGATTGAATTTTGGAGAGTTACTCTTGAATGGACGTTCTATTTTGTGACTTGAAAAGTAGAGGGTGCGAGTCTCAGCCAATAAATCCACTTTGAAGTACGTGGAATTGCTGAGAACAACATATTGCTGAGCTATTTTTAGTATGCGGACCGAAAATCCGAGAAGGCTCCAGGTACATGTAGCTCTACGGTCCTGGAAATCAATGGAGAGATAAAGACAATTCCCGCGACCAAGTGTTACGGGTAGTAACCACTCAGCAATGAATCAGTAAAAGCGCCAATAAGTAACTTCCAGAATAATAAAGTAAGCTAGTGGCTGCTTATGGATGAGTTTGTCAGACGTCGCAAGCCTAAATCAGACAGCAATTAGACGTGCAAGCCGATTTCTCGGCAAGAGCAAGCAAAAAAATCACTCTACGACGCTGCAGACAGCGCTATGTGGCACAACACAAGTTTTCCGCTGTTATAGCGTTGTTTCTTGCAGAGTTGTAATTAGTAATTTTGTGGTTGCAATAAACACTGCGTCCCTAGCTTTCTCTAATTAGGTCACTTTTCGAGTGAAGAAAAGTGTATATCCTCCGCAAATGCGGACAAGGATGCCAAATGCAAGGAGGCATTTCGCGGACCACTTGATCACGGGACCTGTCCTTAAGCTCCAGAGGGGGCTTTCTGAGAAATGTTGAAGGATTAGCAGGAGAACAAAGGGTATCCGGCTGCGTTGCCCACCTCGTTGACTCTGTTGTCCTTTCTCCTTCACCATAAATTGGCCTCAAGTAATGTTTCTGTGTGCAACTTGAATAAAGGATTGAGGTTCGGGTAACGCATAAGCGCGTCATTTCAGGAAGGCAGCGCTCCAGTTTCTCTTTCTCCACGGAGTGTAGGAAGAAAAGGCTAGAGTTCTCTCACTCAGTCGACTCACAGCTTTCTCTATCGCAGGATTGACTCAACTTAAGTTAAAAAGCAGAATAAAAAATCCCAAACGGCAGTTCCAACGATCACAAAAAACTATTCCGGATTTGTTAACTTCATACCAGCAAGTCAAAACGAATATTATCGGTTAGAGCAACTGAGCAAGGCGCTTGCTACGATATTGCCAGGCAGTGGAGGACTATCTGCAACTTGTGAAACTGACCCGCTACTTTACCCGTTGCCAAAACATCTAAATTCAGTGACTGGCGAAACTATGAAATTTTGCGCAGTTTTCTAATGAACAGGAAGGCTGCTCAAGAACGCGTATTGGTGCGACTGGCCCTTATCCACGGTTTGTGGCCATGCAAAAAAGATTAGAAGCAAAGTAACAGCGCAGGACCAATAGACTCAGGGTACATCGCGTGCAAGTGTGTAAATTTTTGGTAAATCCGACTTCACTTCTGTGGGACCCCTTTTCACACTGACCAAAAGACCCCTATCAGGATTCCTAAAAGCATTGGCGAACTATCAAAAATAAGTTTCTACTCGAGGGGGGATGGGATGAATAACCCCTCCTCTCTCGTTCGCAGCCGGCCTAAATATGAACGAGTTATATTTTTAACAACAGTGTTGGTCTGTCCGCATCAAGCCGCGAAGCAGAAATTTGCGATGCCAGTGCTTGCTATGGTGAGGGCTGGGTTTGAAGCGGCGCCAGCTCAGTGTCCAAAAATTGTTGTTGCTTGCTCCCTTGAATAATAAGTGGAGCATAGTTTTTCGCGCGCCAACTGCAGCTATCCAAGCACGCCCCAGCATCCGTAGGGAACAAGACGGTATGTAGACTGGAATGACTGGAATGATTGCTGCAAACCAGCTCGTCTTCTTCAGAGTAAAAGTACCAAATGAGACATTGCTTACATTGCAAGGATCAAAAAGGTCTTCTTTGGTACTGGAACTCAATGCGCAACAGGTGAACAGGTAATGCCATCTGCAAGAAGCCTGCGCCTGCTTTCGAGTCTAGTTGCTTCGACCTATCTCCAGAGGTATAAAAAGCATTTATGTATCGAATATTTCATGCAGGAGAAAAATACGGATTTCTGGTTTGTTCTCGTCCATAAATTAAAGCTCAATTAATGAGCACCCTGATCCCTGCCTGAAAGTACTAGTCAGCTTCATCGTGATAGTTTTGCGTTCCTTAAGACTAATAATGGCCATATCACACAATTAATTAGTCCCGGTAAATCCCCCTTCGTCAACTGGACTTTGATGAAATAGGGGTATATAATGATATTGAGCAAAAAAGGAAATTAAAGTCAGTTGAATGATTAGCGCATGAAAAAAGACAAAAAGAGCTGCTGCTCTTTTCTAGAACTGCCCATTGTCGCCTGCGCCTCGTCGACGTTGCAAATCAAAGAGCTCTATACTTACTACTATTTTATTTTTACTGATGTTCATTAACCTATTGAAGTTTCTCTTCCCTTATCAGAACCATAGGGCGGACAGTGACATTGCTCGGCTTCCGTCTTATTGGTGGGGCGAATGCTGAGGCACTTCATTCCCTTCAGACTCTCCCCCCCCGCCATTCAAAAATCTCTACCGCCTGCTCGATTTGTCCCAGTTGGAGCTGCTAATACATTGAGCTAACAAACTGTTCACACTCGCTTTCTTTGTCAATCGTTTTCACATTATCTTCTCCTAAAGTACGAGTTCAATGGAATAAAGGGAAGCGATTTTCAATTGAATTTCTACCCACCTGATGATGTGAGCTGCCATTTAGTCGATGCCAACCACCTTTCGATATACTAAACCATAGCAAAGCTGCGAGTACCTGAAAAGGTATTTTATTAAGGAAATACATGCAACGCTGTGGAAATGCGCGTTTTTCTTTGATTCACACTATGCATAGGCAGTTCATACTTTTTTATATAACTCAGTTACTCACTTACTGCAGCGGATGTGGTGCAGTGACAACACTCACCCGTGCGGCCAGAGTTTAAAGGCAGTGGCTATGATAACGCCTTCAGACTAGTAGGATTAATACGCTTGGCAGGACGGAATTCCACGACCCTGAGCAGACGCTGCGTAGCGCCTTTTCCAAGGAAGCCGTTATAAAGACCCGCTATCAAGCCGCAAACATAACCGACCGGACGCCCACCGCGCCCACAAATGTAAAATGTATATACATATTTGTAGCCGTACCTACCGTAGCTATTAATGGTAAGATGCCTACGGAAGATGCCTCGTCCGAAATTGCTTTGAGTCATGAAAACGAATTTTCTTCAAGTTTTGACTGTTTCACTTATGTTTTCCCTTTTCCCATTATAAAGCACCCTGCTAGCACCTTGGACCGAGTACAAAATTATCGTGCACTCCTTCAAATCCCAGCTTGGCTTCCATCCACGCCAACCGAGCCTTTTATCCTCCGGGGAAGGTGAATTGGTGCACGATTCGTCAGGGAGGATAAAAATACTGGCTTGTGTGTGGGCTGGTACCCGTAAGCTATTGCATAGGCCGCATCGCACTTAATAAGCCATTATCATTCTGAATGAAAGCAGAACGTGTGCCGCATCTCAAAAGGGAATTGATTATTGGCGAAGATTTTATTTTATCTTACTTCTTATACCAAAGCGACATATATTCCAGCTTCACACAAGTAAAAATGATCTCTGTATTGAATTTCCGCCAATGTATAAACAGTATAGAATTTCATACGAGGCGCGAAAATTCCAAAATGGGACCGATGCGCCACAAATGAGACTTGATCTCATAAAAATTCTCAATGATAGGCTTGGCTTCGCCTGTTTTTCTCCCTTCCACACCACATAACCGCGGTGTTTGTTGGTTGCGCCGACCAAAAACTCAATCAACAAACGAAATTGATCGCCTGGCGGACACCCATTACGTCCTGGCAGCTATATATCCCAAAATTTGTGAGCTAAAAGAGTAGCTCGGATAAATGCAAGTGATTTTTGAGTAATTGCTTTATAGTATTAGTAGGACCACTCAGTCAATAGAAAGAGCTCCAAAACAACTCGGTGAATTTTCATCTTCTTGCAAATTTTAAATGGCCGTAATCATAATCAAGGTGCATGAAAAGAAGAAAAGGACGGGAAAAATTGACTACACTGCACCCTTCACCAATCATTTCGCTTTGACCATATGGGAGGAGCCAGTTCAACAGTATCCCATTCTCATAGAATCAGTGAGGAGAGCTTCAAGTACCCCAAAATCCCATAGATATGTCCGCCATCACATACAGTCTTGTGTGCTGCCCATGAAAGGGCGTGCCGGTGAGAGTTAAGCGCGCCGCCAGCTCATTCTCTACCACTAACAGAAGCGGATAAGCGTCAGCAATTGGTGAAAAACGATTGATACGAATAGTATGATACAGTTCGTCTCTTGCCGGAAGAAGAAAAACAAAAAAGGCTGGCCGCGGGCCAAACCCATCCCGCGTGACACGCCCCATCATCAGCAGAGAACAAGACTGCAAGTCCGCAATAGCAGTGCGCATGAACCCCATACGTTACTTGCAATCGAGTTTCATTTTCAAAGTCCTTCCCCAATCAGATTTCCATTTGATGACTGGGGAAGGAATTGTCCGGTAGAAGTGGTCACAGATACAAGTAAGTTGGATGTAAAGGCTGGATTGTTGAGGGAATGATGACAGATTCGGTAACAGGAACTTGATAACGAGGAGAACAGGTCTATACAGAGGACGTTTGAGAGAGGGAAACTCAAGAGAGATTCAAGACAGAAATTAGAGTTACAAGGAAAAATTGCATGTTTGAGAGTACAACAGGAGAAACTACCTCTACTTAATTCTCCTACGATACGTTTCGTAGCGTTGCAGTGTACAGGATCCAGGAAATGGGGAGGGCGTGGCTACGTACATACTCATTCGAATGTAGTGACTACTGCACTCTTGGCGGGATGTCACCATTTGAGTACGACTGTGATCACGTTTTTTTTCCACCACAAGACAGGATGACAAGTGTCTCATTGGAAATACTCCTCAAAAATGCACCCTGCGTGTCCATTGAAGCAAGCGCCATGCCCTATCAATTTGCGGGATATGGAGTGTATGTATGAGCGCGGCCTGGTGAAGGGCTCAACTTCTAATCGAGTGTTTTCTCCCTTTTTTGTAGTGCTAACCAGGAAAC